CATGTAGAGTCCATGTCCGGAACCAGTGGGGGGTGGTGAGCCACTTTCCGGACTGGGGAGAACTGGGAGATCTGGGTTGTCGCCTCCATTCAGACATGGAGATCACCGAGTGACTTTGGCCGGTCACAGCCCAAACCTACCTCACAGGGCTGTTGTTGAGAAAACGGAGGGGAGGGGAAGACTCGTGTGTGCTGCCGGGGGTTCCTTGCCAGAGAAAATAAAGTGCAGTTTAAGTGTAACGAACAACAATAATATACTCTGCTTTGCAGTGAGAATTTACTGCAAATGTGCGAGGCATGAGACTAGATGGTAAAAAGGCAGGATTTTGTTACAGATAAGGGTCCAACTCATGAGTTCGAAGAAGAGGCTTGTGGCTTGATGGTTGGGCAGCAGATATGGAAGCCAGAAGCCCATACGGCTAACAGAACAGCTGGGCGACAGGATGGGACAAGCGTTGCAGGCAGACAGGTAGGTACAAGAAACCAGGTTGGCCATGAGACCCCACCTTCTGCCAAGCACCGAAAGAGGCTGTGTGTGACCGGTTTCCGGTTACTGGCCACGTCTTGGGCCGTTGACCTGTTGGGGTCTGCTGAGTCCACAGGCTCAGAAGCAAGAGATGCAGAAGCGATGGGCCGGAGTATCAGGAGGAGACAAGCAGCACAGGGAAGGAGACAAGAACAAGGGAACAAAGGCTCCGGACGGTCCCTCTGGGTCCTGGTTTTGTTATTATTTACATCCATCACTTTGGAAACTGTAGCTCCGCGTGGTTGAGGAATGCAGGTCCATAGATAAAGGCATCAGACAACAGAAGAGAGTTACTCTTGTTTGAAATGAGGCGGAACCTGGCCTTGGAGGTGAATGGACCAGTGGACTGATGGACCGGTGGAAAATGATGGAAAATGATGGAAAATGATGGAGTGGAGGGCCTTTCTGGATGGTTAACAGAGCAGAATGGGAGACGGAGGGATGCAGGGAGACGAGACCCCTGGCAGGTGGGTGTGAAGTGAGGGGGCCATGAGCATGCAGAGGAGGGAACGGGTGGATCTGGTGACTCCCTCAGAGCAGTCAGGGAAGGGGGACCAAGGAAACCGGAAAAACTATCACAGGAAAGCGACAAAAAATCGACTGGGAATGACACTCAGGTCAAAGAGGTCAGCCTTTCTCAGCCTGGCATCAATGCTGGTGCTGGACTGCAGCTCCCAGAATCCTCCAGCCAGTGGCTGGGGGATTCTGGGAGCTGCAGTCCAACGCCAAGTCTGGGGTAGATGGTTATTTATTGAGGTCTAGAGGGACACGTTCCAACCGCATGGACAACGCAAGCAGGGCGGGCGGGCAGCATGAATGCCGCATGGAGCCAAGGACGCCGAGACAAGAATGGCAGCGTTCTCTCTTTTCTTGTCCCCTCCCCTCAGTATAAAGTGCGTTTCTTAACATCAGGGAACTCAGTGGACTATGGAAAGCCCCGCAGATGGAATTGCTAAGGGCGCACGTCCTCGGCACAGCCACCCTACTTCAAGGGGAAGGGGAAGGAACACCCTCCGTCTCGCATCTTCTGTTTTAATGCTTCGCCCATTGCGAGGCTAACGGGCTCGAGTGGCAGGAAGACAGTTTCTGGAAGGATGTCAGGAAGACCGTCCGGGCCGTTACACCAGTGCGGCGATGGAGCCCCTGACCCAGGGAGGGCGAGGGCTCCCCATGCGGGAGGCAGCTGGGAGGCTGACTTCCCCGCTCTGAGCAGGGCTTGGACCGGATGGCCTTGGAGGCCCCTCACAGCCCGGCTGGTCTGTAATTCTGTGGATCACCTGCCAACATGGAAGGGCTAGGGTGAGGCAGGCAACCTGTGCTGGACTGTACCACCTCTGACCTCAGGTGGGGCTTTACACAGGTAGATAACCTCGATACCATTTTCTGTATGTAGAAGATACCGTGTAGAGGTACAGCAGAAATCTTCTCCTGTATTGTCTGTGATAAACAGAGAGGACCGCTATGCTCTGTGAAATGGTACAGCCCAAGAACTCACATGCACTCTGAAGTGGTATAGCCCAATCCTGGCTTGGCCAGCTCACTAAGCGGCCATCTTAGAGGCTGCCCCACAAGGGCTGGAGCCCCGAACCTGTGGGGCACCCTCTGCCCCACCAGCCTGCTATCCGGAGGCACTTACTGAAATAAACGCATGGAGCCCTGAAAAACTCGGGTCTGTCTAAGCGCCTGAATTCGACCCATGTGGGCTTCCGCTCCAGCCGCCCACACCTTGAATCATTCTGCTGGAGTGGTTTACCCGGAATCAAAGGCCCTCCTTTCCCAGTCCACCCATCGCTTTTCACCAGTAGGGTTGTCCTAAGGAGACGCACAAACGCGAGACTGCAAGGCATGTGTAAATTTGCTTACGCAAAACTGGGCAGCATTTGTCCCGGGAACCTGAGCCTGCGGCCCCCGAGGGGCACAGACAAAGCCGCACAGGGTGGGAGGCACCGTGTGCTCCCAAATGGCCAATGGATGCCCCGCACGCTCCTTCTGGATCATTCCCAGCACATGGGGGGGGCTGGGGGGCAGTGGTCTCAGGAGCCCGTGCTTGTGAGAACCCAGGGGCCGTGGCTGCCTCTTGGGCCATGGCCACCCCACGTCCCGTCCAAAGAGCTTCCTGCAAGCCGCCCTGACAGAGGTGATGTGGGGCAGACGGAACGGGACCCAAGCCAGACCAGCTGCACCGGCTGCCGGGAGTCTAGGCGCGTGCCCCGTCTTTCTCCCTTCCCAAAGGACAAAAATGAGCACCTGGGAGATTCCCTTTACAGAGTCCACTGTAAAGTCTCTGGACAGCGCGAGGAGCAATACGCAAAACCGCCCAGCTCTTCTCTGCCATTGCGAGCTCTCTCTGCCCTCCCCACCAGGCTCAAAACTCCTGCAGGATCCATACATGCTTTTCCTCCAAAGTCCACGTCCGCAGCTTCTGCTCACCTTGCCCACAACACTCACAACCACCAGGGCATGTAGCTCCCCAGTTCTCTCTCACACCAACACCGCTTTTTTCTCAACACACGGGTTAAAAATCAGAAGCGTGGAAAGCCTCAGAAAGGTTTAAGCACACGTAGGACGGATAGAAGGAGCCGTCCAGCCCTGGTCCCAGCCATGGACAAGGTCCCTTGCAGCCCTTTGGCCAGAATGAGGCACGGGACTGGCCCACAGAGTGTTTGGGGTTCGCCATCCTTCCGCCAGACACATAACCGCACCCAGAACACTACAGACCCCGCACTCTTACCAAGGTACGCTCTGCAAGCCACTTCCAGCAGTTCCCAGACGGAGACACAATCCGGGCATTAAATCCAAGGGAAAGGACAGTTGAGAATAACACTGGAAAGCCGATGGAAGTCAAAGCCACTCTCCGCCAGAAGGTGAAGACCAAAAATCAATCCCAGCCTCCAGCTGCCATTTTCGGGGTCTGGCTTGGAGTCGTGGGGATGTTCCGAGCACCACAGAGCTCCTTCCCTCCCCCAGCTCAGCCCTGCGGGATGCAGGGAATGGGGGCACTGGTGGCCACTGGGTACAGGGTGCCCCTCCGTCCAAGAGCAGCCGGCTGGAGCTGAGGACCTGGGTGTTTGCAAGCTCTCGAGCTGGTTCCCATGGGGAGGGGGGGCTCAGGAGGGGGAAGGGGGTGTTGTTTTTTTAAACCTCTAATCCATGTTCGCTGTCTCTTAAAAGCTAATCAGATTAGGTCCTCGTGGAAGGGGAAGGTGGAGTGGCGGGGAAGAGAAGGCAGCCACGTGTCTCGAGTACAAGATGCGGGGAAGCTTTGTGGTCCATGGCCTAGACGGTTTCGAGGCCGCAAGGACAGGGAATTGGGGGGTGTGGGGCGCTGGCCAAGACGACGTTCAGAGGTTACAGAGCGACAGAACACGAGGCAACGGACTGCAAGTGTAAAGTGTGCAAAGTTACGTGTGTGTGATGAGGAGCAGGGTGCAGAAGTGCGAAAAGGTGAAGTTGCGGAGGCAGAAAGAGGGACGGAGGCGAGGGTGGTGGGGAGCGGAGGCAGAGGTGCTGGAAGGGGTCTGTTAATCAGGTTCGGAAGATGGGGCAGGGCAAGAGAGATGATCGGGGAATGCCTCTGTGCATTTCACAGCCGAGCACGCAGCCAGCCAGGGAAGGAGTGGATGCAGGTATGCCCCGAGGAGGAAAGAAGTTTTAAGTTGCCCGTTAGAAAGATGTGGCGTTTCAGGCCAAGACTGCCAAGCGGAGAGAAAAGGGAGCACACCTGTGAAAATGGGATTAAGGAGTTGGCGGAGCCAGGACCTCCGGCAAAAGCCGCTTCAGGGATCAGCTGCCCACTGCAGGAACCTTGGAAAGGTGGCACTTCCAAAAAGGTGAACCTGTAGGTGTGGGGCTCAGTTCAGGGCAGGGCCCCACCGCTGGCGGTGGCTAGTTCAGGAAAACATCTTGGGAGGACTGTCCCAAGGGGAGCCTGGATGGCCAGGCAACTGAGAGCTGCCGTGATGAAGTTTTCGGGACCAGCTGCATGACAGGTGTCCTGCTACTGGAGAGATCCTGGGGATCCAAAGACTCTCATATCACAGAGGGAAGTAGAGGTAGGAAACCGCAAATGGACGGTTTCACTGATCAGAGGTTGCCAGGTAACAATCAGCTGATTGTGGGTTAAACAACCCACAGTTCATGTAAAGAACGGGAGGCTGACTGTTGGCTGTTTAACCCACGATTAACCTGTAGTGCCCAGGTTCAGATGTTATACAGGAATTTGTGATGGGGACAGAATGTTAAAAATGGCCAGACTGCACCCAGCACATGCTGCATAAATCACGGGCCGATAAACCCATCATCTGCCACCACTGCATGCGAAGTGGGTTTGAGGGAGAACTGAGGGCTTCAACCAAGGATCCACCACCATCTCCAAGCACCCATTTCGGACCCTCTAGGGAGGGCCTGTTTGCTTCCCCCCCCCCTCCCAGAAATGCCTATGGTTACAAGAAAGTCTTTCGCCATTTCAACTGCTCGGTCTGAAGTAAAGCATGTCTTTTATTCTGGCTAAATTGGATATGATTTGAAGAGCTGGGTGGGCTTGTTCCTATGGAGAATGGGTGGAATGAGAGCTTGATTTGAAGGGGACCAGGACAAGGGCTGGGCTCAGAGCACATGGGGCACATATGCAATCTCACACCCGCTTGCAGCGTGCGACAAGGCGAGCGCAAGCGAGTTAGGAACCCGCTGGGGGAAACCGTGTGCCAGTGTGAGCCTGGGCCAGAGCTGCTGGTGGCCGAGGTTCTCATACAGCCAGAGAGCTGAGCAAAACACCAGCATCTTTGTCTTTCTTCTCTTCTGTGCCCCATATTTTGGGGGAGACACTTGAAGGATTTCCACTGGCACTGTGCCCATGGGAAGAGAGGCAGTTCTTTAAAACCCCCACCCCAACAGACCAATTTTTCCCAGGAAGACAGTAGAGATCTGTCTGGAGAAGAACAAAGGAAAGTCTCTGCAGATGTTTTTACGTGTTCCAACGACTGTAGAAAGCAGAACAGAGAGGAGGGAAGAGAGAAGCCAACAGCCAGTGGGGGGTGAACCCATTGCCTAAAAATAAATCAACATTCATTTATTTGGAAAACAATGGTATAAAAATAATTAACTGTGCAAGGAAGAGCAAATTGGTACAGCAAATCCAAGTGTGTCTAAAACAGCACACTCAGTGCTCACAACCATCAGAAGGCGGAGCTTTCGGTGGAGAAGGCACAGCCGGTTTTGGCAAGATAGTGAGGGACATCTCACAACTTCACCCCGGAAATACTCCCAAGTGCCCGTTTACAGCCAGGTTATCCGAGAAGCAACGAGGCTTGTTTTCTGCTGAAGGGAACGGCCGCTCTGACGGACCCCTCGGAGCACAGGGGATGGCGGGGGTCTCCGCTGTGTGACTCTTGTAAGGGATTCTTTTTAAGGGCTGCGGTTGCTGCCACCCCACGTCTCGGCACAGAAGGATTTAAGCCAAATGCAGAAAGACAAAAAACGACCAATCCTGCCTGCATGAGCTCAGTCCTCCCTTTCTGGAAAAGCAGAATGTGAGGCTCCATGTGGGAGAAAATCGTTGCAGGTGAAACGGGAGGTGGAAGGAGGTGCTTTCATCCCTGCGCGGAGCTCACAGGCAGGTGTGCCCAGGCGCTCGTGGCCTGGAAGAGGAGGCTGGCCGGCTTCAGAAGGAAGCAGACCGACTGCAGAAGGTCATCTCCAGACCGTTCCTCCTCGGCTGGTGCGAGGATTGGAGGCCGGGACACCTCCAGGCTTCTTCCCGGCTTTGGCAGGGGCCTTCTCCCGTGGCAGCCCTGAGATGCCCATGCGGCGGGCGGGGGCCACCTGAGGGGGGAAGCGGGGGAGGAAATACAAACAGAGCTCGGACTGTTGTTTCTCCCCCAGACTCACCAGACTTAGAAATCACAGCACTGCCCCACCGTTTTCCCCAACCCCACTGGCTCCCCATAAAAACCGGAACCAGCCCGAACCCTCAGGACTTCTGCCCCCTCCCCTGACAAGATGACCCACAGACCTCCTTCCGCATGGCTTCCACCAGCTTGGAATCGAGGTTCCGGCGCGTCTGCAGATTCCCGTCGCTTTTGGTTTCTGCCCTGGGGGTAGAAATCCCAGAGGGACAATGGTGGGAATGCTGCCCCGGAGGAGAACCTGCCTCCCCAGCCCACAACGCCTGCTGACGGATGTCTAGGCTCAGCTCTCCTCTAGAAAGGTGTTAAAAGCCCAGGAAGGCCTAGCTCTGCCTCTTTCTCCTGCCCACACAGCAGATGGCCACATCTCTCGAGGAACCCTGGACCAAGAGGCCACGTCAGGGCCCAGGAAATCCCCGCGGCCTGCCTCACCCGTGCGCGCCGATCCCACGCAAGTATCTGTACAGCTCCTCAGGCGAAGGCACAGGCCTCCCCTTGGCCTGGTACTGCTTCAGCAGGCGTGAAACTTCGGCCACCTGCCTGGGGGAGAGGACCCCCTCCTCCCGGGCTGCGGAGAGAAAGGAAGAGGACGAGGCAAGGCGGGCTCGAGGGGGGCCCACAGAGCTCGCGCGGGAGAGCACGACGCCACCGGCCCCCCACGCACCGGGGTTCTGCCGGGGAGGGCTGGACGCGTCCGGGTTCGAGTGGGCCAGCCCAGCTCTGGGCAAGGAGACCTTGCTTTTGTGGACGGCGGAGCTGCTGGGTGGCTGGATGCGGATGGTGCTGAGCGGCGGCTGTGCCGGATCCCAGAGGGCGGTGGACCGCTCGTGGTAAGACGTGCCTGGAGGGAAGGCAGGAAAGGTGAGACGCCGCGTGGCTGCGAGTGACAGAACGCCGGCGTCCTGCCGTGCCGGGGGGCCGCAGTGCTCCCGCGGGCACCCCTCCATGTCTCACCCTTCCAGCCGTCCGGGACCCCCCATGACACCACCCCCAACACTGGCGGGTGGCCTGGGCTGGCACACGCCCTCTGAGCGCCCTTTCTAGAGGGCAGCATCCATCCCCGTCCGGTCTCAGGTGCCCCCATGAACGACGGCGGTGCCTCTGGTGCCCACGGAGCCTCGCAGAGCCCTTCTGACACAAAGGGATGCCTATTTCAGAAAACGGTGTCCCACACTGGGGCAGGGGAAGGCCAAGCCCATTTGACACCTGGCGCCCCGACTGAGGGGCGCTGGAAGTGCCAAACCATGGCATGTGCAGGGGTGGCAAAGAGATGTGGGCCTGCCGCTTTGTCCTCACCTAAGAGGAAGGACACCTGAAGCAACACCCCCCACTGAACATCAGTTCCAGGATTTCCGGCTTCCAAGCTGCACCCCCGCCCCCATTCTAAGCACATCTGGAGCCCCCTGCCCCTACGCAAGGACCAGAGCAGGTGGGGCTGCCAGGAGCCTCTGGGAGAGGGCAGCCGGGGGAGGCGGGTCAGAGCAATTCTTACCCAGCTGCGTCTGATGGGTGGCCTGGGGCGGGCTGTCTGGGGGCCCCTCGTCCTGCCGCTGAGCAAAGCTGTCGCAGACAGAGCGCTCGCAGAGCTGAAAGGCGCAGGCGAGAGAAGTCAGGCTGCAGCCAGGCCCCACGGCTGCGTGCCCACGACTTCTCGCCCGGCCGCAGGACCAGGAGCCGCCAGTGTGAGCGGGAGCAGCAGAGGGCCTGGCCTGCGAGGACTGAGCTAACGAGGAAACAAACAGGAGTCATGCACAGACGGGTTCAGGGACTGTTGGGAGCCAAAGGGCTTGTCAGGATATGGCACCCAGAATATGGCACCCAGACCCTCGCACTACCCTTATGGTGGGCTTGCTAGCGAATTGCCAGCGGTCCCAAGACTGCCATCCTCCAGCAGCAGGTTTTACTCCAGTGCCCACCTAGGCCAGAGCAAACGGGCAGAAGGATCACAGAATAGCAGAGCTGGAAGGGGCCATGAAGGCCACCGGGTCCAACCCCCCACCAAGCCACACCGCCCCACTCAGAGGGCTGCCCAGTCTCTTTCTGGATGTCTCCAGTGTGGGAGAGCCCCCCACCTCCCCGGGCAGCTGGGCTCTCCCGTGTGGCGCTGCCTTCCACCCCACAACCATCAAGTGGTGGCACAGCTCCCGTGGGGACTGCAGTTTTGGGAGTGGGTGCCCAGGCTCACCTTCCTCCTCCTCCTCCTCCCTCCCCACCACCCCTTTCTCCCTGCATGCCGTGTCTCCTGGAGTATAAACCCGAGGGCAAGGGCGTCTTGTTACTGATCTCTGCAGCCAGTCAAGCAGGCTTTTTGCTCAGGAGGCGCTTTAAAGAACAAACCGGTCCTCTGGCTCTCCATCTCAAGCCCTCCACCTGTCGAGTTCCACAGTTTGTTCGATGGACAAACCGCCTTTGGCTTTCCAGAGCATCTGGTTCTATTAGGCTCTGCAGCAAACCCAAGCTGTGCCTCCCAGACGCAGCCCCCCGGCAGGCCAGGAAGAGGAGCAGAGGCTAGAGCGGCGGCACCTACCAGGCGCAAGTAGTAATGTGGGTCCGGCTGGGGCACCGGCCCCTGCCCCTCGCTCTCCAGGCTTCTGGACTGCAGGGCTCCCCCTTCATCGGCCGCCCCTTCCATGCCGGCCTCGTCCGCCTCGTCAGTGAAGGGGTGCTCCGCGAGGTTCTCGGGGTGGAAAGTCAGACCTAAGACATGGTGGGGGTGTGAGAGAGGGGGAGAAATGTGTGGGGCGGGATTTGAGCACTGCCGAGCGGGGAAGCCTGCCTGGGGAAACTCACTGGCCACCTCCAGCCTTCCGCAGACAGTGGTGCTTCGGAACCAACCTGCTAGGCAGCCTGGCTTGCCCCCGGGGGAGCGCACGTCCACATGCCCTGGCTGACAACAGGGGGCATATTGCAGGGGGGCGGGAGCTCCGGTCTCGGGGGCACTTCCAGCCCCTCGGAGGCCCAGCCTGCTTTCTCCAACTGCTGACGGCTGGCCAGTTGCCTGGCGGTTGTGCACCCCTCCTCGTTCCCTGGCAGGAAGGGCCAAGGCAGAAACGTGGTCCGGTGCTCGGCCCGGCCTCCTCTGGGCAGCAGCCCACGAGCACGTCTTTGAAGCGGAGTAAGGCCCGAGGGACGAAAGCCGACTCGCAGCTCGGCCAGAGCAACGTTAGCGAGAGGATTTTTGCACAAGCGAACGCCTGACCACGGTCTCTCTCTGGGAGGTCAGCCGAGAATATCCGAGCCGTCAGCCGGCGAGCTGCCCGGCCCTACATGTCCGCTCAGGAGACGGCAGCTTTGCCCCAGGAAAACGGCTCTTCCATTCAAAGGCACCGTTAACCATTGCCTCTGCTTGGGTGAGAGGAAGGAATGGCGGGTGGGGGCCTGCACGCGCACACACCTGCACCGGTGACCGCGGCGTCCACCTGCGGGTCCAGCGGCTGGAAGCCCTGCTGGCTGAGGAGGCTGCAGTTGAGCACGCGGCTGAACTCCGACGAGACCCGCCCCGGGTCGGGCAGCAAGGGGAGAAAGGGCCGGCAGGGGTCCTGGGCGGACTTTTCGGGCACCGTGAAAGCCGCCCGCAGGGCGTTATGCTGAGCAGGAGGGGGCAGAAGGGGGGCGGCCGTGGTCCACACAGCCCCCCCACAGTCCCCAGCGCCCTGGCTGCTCCCAAGAGCCTCCACCGGCTGAGTCTTCCTCAGGGAGTCCGAAGGCTGTGGGGACTCCAGGTCAGAAGCGGGGTCCGGGTCGGGGGGCATGACCTAGAGGGGCAGAGCAAGGGTTAGAGAATGCCCTCCCCCCACTTCTGTAAGCAAAGTGCAGACCTGGCCGGCGAGCAGGGTGCGCACTGAAGGCGTGCGCCATTGCTGAACTGAGGGCTGCTGCCATTACACGGGAACTCCGCCTCCAGATGTGCTGGACTTGCTGATTATGGGCTGTAGTTCCATTCCGGATTGTCCCGATGTGCAACCCACTGAGCTGAGGTTTAACGACTGGCAGATCAAGAAACGGCAACCGGCTGGTTACTGGGCTGTGAACTCTGGGTTGTCACTAACAACCCATAGTTAAACCGCGGTACAGGGCTGGCACATAACAACAAGCCACGATCTGACAAGGCCAAACAGGTCTGGAAGGCACCAGGAAGGGGAGGTCATTCTGCACTCCTGCGAACGGACGACGAGGCCACTGGAAGGCAGGATAATACCCAGGGGTTCACAACACTGGCTTTGAGGGTTATGCCACCTGCCGCGGGAGGGGGACCCCCAACAGTGTCAAGCAGCAGGGAAGGGCTGCACCCGGAACGGCCCCATGCCCAGCTCTTCCGCCCAGCTGCTCCTGCAGCAGCGCCCCACACGCTCCCAAGGGCCGGGAGGGGAGACACGAAGGGGGCCGGGCGACGGCGGCAGCCACTCACGCGCTCCTGAGCCTTGCTGCAAAGCTGGGGGGAGCCGCTGCTGCCCGCCAAGAGGCGCAGGGCCTCGTTCCAGTGCGCCTGCATCATGGCCTGGAACTGGCTCACCATCTCGGCTCGCTGGGCCTCCAGCCGCCGGTACCTGGCCTGCAGCTCCTGCATCTCCTCCTGCTGTTTGCCCAGCCTGTAGGGGAGGTAAGAGAAAAGGCGTCGTGGCTGGAAGAGCGGAGGAATGCTGGCGGGGGGAGGGCGGGTCACGGGGAGAATTCTGGGATTCCCTCCCACACGCACAGACCCCACTCCCCTGGCAGCCCAACGAAGAAGCGATTCCCCACTCACCATCCCCACCTGCCAGCCTCCCCCAACCTGGTGCCTTCCAGAGGGCATAGCCCATCATCCCCAGCCCTCAGGGCCTATCTGCGGGGCACCAGGTCAGTGGATGCGTGTGTGCCATCACCCTCGCGCCCGCCCCCCACGATGCCTGACTCGGCGCTCGCCAGGAGGGCTGCCCCATCAAGGCGGGCACCTGTGCTCGTAGTCCTCAGTGAGGCTCCGCTGCCGCCCCTCCCTCTCGGCCAGGTCGGATTTGAACTGGGTCAGCTGGGCGGCCAACTCCTTCTCGTGGTGGCTACTGAGCTCCAGCAGCTGCTTCCTGCCGAGGAGGAAAAGGGCAGTCCGTCAAGCGAAGCTCCCGGGGGGCCTTCCCCAGCCATCCAGGGGGACTTGGGGCTACAACTGTCGGCAGGACAGGAGCAGAGAACGGAGACCCCGAAGGGGGCGGGTGGTCCCTGAGGGGGCGGGCCAGGCTGAGGGCTGCCCTGCCGCTGGAGGGCCCCCTCGCACCTGTGCTGCTCCCGCATGGCACTCATCTGGCGCAGGGTGTCCTCGTGAACCTCGGCCAGGCGCTCCGTCACCCGCTGCTCAAGCGCCACCTTCAGCTCCGATTCCAGGTTGACCTTCTGCGCTTCATGACGCGCCTGGGAAGGGAAGGCGGGGAGGAGGTTGCAGCTCCTTCCAGGCTTCCTGTACTGCATGCAAGGACTTGACATGCTCCAAGTCCTCAGTAAGTTCACACATGCCCAGCTTCTGAGTGAAGCAGAAAGTCCTCGAATGAAAGATGGGTGTGGCTCGCTGCAGGTCGCGGGAGTCCATTTAGGATAGGCTACCGGGGGGGGGGGCTTCCCACCCGTCCTGAGTCTGCAGCACAGGGCAAGTTGCCCCCCAAAGCCCCCCCTCCCTACCACACAAAGCGGCAGAAGTCGCGATTCTGGTCTCGCCCTTCCCGGCGCCAAAGCCAGTGTCGCGGCCGCGTTACCTTCACCAGGCTCATCTCCACCTTCAGGCTGTCCCTCTCGCGGCGCACGGCCTCCAGCTCGGCCTGCAGGCCCTGCATTTCGGCCTGCAGGGAGGCCAGGGCTCGCTGAGCGTCGGCGGCCTTCTGAGCTTCCCGCTGGCTCGCCTCCTGGACAGGGTGGGGCAGGAGAGGCAGGGGTGAGGCGAGAGCTCTTGGGACCCCCGGCTCAAGGGTGGCCCCCCGGGGCACCTTCTGGCCCATGCCAGCCTCTTCCGAGCCAGGCGTGGGAAGGGGCCTGCCCGTCTCTGGCTCGCAGCGCCAGCGCCAAACAAGGCCAGCGAGAAGAGCCTGCGGATACCTGTGCTCACGCTCTGCTTGAACCTGGCGTCGCTTTCCCAAGACAGACAGGAAGGCAAGCAAAGGGAAGAGGGTGGATTTTGACACGAGAAGCCTTGATCCAGACAGAAGGGCCCGACAGAGCATTTTTAAAGCGAACATCCACCCAACTTTGCCCCGCCTGACCCGAAAGCCTCAGCCGCTCGGGTGCGTGTTCGCCGCTCATCATTAAGGGCCGCTGGAGTGGTGCGTGTTTACGACGGGGCTCGTTCGCGGAGGCACAGTCCGGCACCGGAAGGCCGAGGCCAAGTCCTTTCCCTCCCAGAGACAACCAGCTGCCTCCCACCACCCCCACCCCCAACCTGCCTGTGCGAGATGAGACTAACGAGAAGGCAGAATTAACTCGCTTTGGGATAATTCAACCGAGCACTGAACAGAGCTCAGCCGGTCACTTCAGGGCACCCGGGCGACGCTTCCCCTACAGTAACACTCAGACGTGCTCCATTCTGGTGCCCACCAGCTTCAGACTGCAGTTCCCATCATCCCAGCCAGCAGCCGTCAAAGCCTCTACGGCTCCTCTCCTAGCAGAGCGCTGTCCTTTCCCAACGGCATAAGGACAGGAAATGCAACGGATGCAGCTTTTCCCCTCACAGCTGCACCAGTTGAACACTGTGCCCAGGCAGCCTAGTTAAAGGCACAGAGGGGAGGGGAGGGGAGGGGAGGGGAGGAGGAAAAGACCCCCTCGCTGGCCTGCGCCACCGACCGCTCTGAGAGGCCCCTCCGAGCCACTCCAGGCTTTGCCTCGTGACGGAGATGGGAGAAAGCACCGTGGGTGGAGGGGCAGTGGGAGGACAGCCCCTCCGCTGCCCTGCCCACGGAACAAGGGGGCCGGCTGGCGCACTGGGCATGGCAAAAGCGAGGGGGGGGAGGAGGAGGAGGGGACAGGGAGGCTCTGCTTTCCTGCCCCCCCCCCCAGGTAATGATGGCCAGCCTGGCCAAGGGTGGGGCCCGGGGGCCTGCAGAGGCTCAGCAGGGGCTGGCCCAGCAGGACTGCGTTAGCAGGGCTTTGAACACTCTGACGCACCCCATCAAACTGAGCCCAGAATGACAAGGCAGGGAAGATGCTGGCAGAAATGGGCAGGAGACGGGGGGGGGGGGGGGCGTGGACCCTTTAAACACCTCCCAAAGCCTTCCAAGAACAGGAAGCCCTCTGAGACCACACAGAGCTGCAGCAGCAGGCCACAGGACCCGGACAAACACCCTAGCCTGGACTAGAAGAACTCCAACACATGCTTTACGCCACTCCCAGAATCACTGAGGACCAGAATCTTTAAAATGGAAGCAAAGACAGGAAAGCCTAGCATAGGAAAGGGAGCAGGGGCACATGGGATTGCTCCAGAGCTGGATGCAAACCGCCGTCTTTCCCATGCTTGCTCGCCACCTGAGCTCAGGCGGAAATCCCACAGGTAACAGCTGGGCCATCAGGCTGGCTCGCCAACTGGCCTCCCTCCCCTCTGGCTGCAACGAGGCGAGACGCCACGTCTCCACCCCACAACTCACTGGCTGGGAGGGGCGCTTCTTTCTCACCCCACAGGGGGGCTCAACCAGCTGCAGCTCTTCCCAGCCCTGGGACTCCATGGCAAGCCGGTTCCTCTGCTCCCCACGGCAGGGCAAGAGGCTCCTGCTGTGGGGCGGGGCCAGGGCCAGCCCCACCCCTCCTGAGGAAAGGCCACGCCCCCGGGAGCGGCCGAGACTCTGTGGCAGAGCTGGGGCCCTGGCAGCCCGCCTGGCTCTCGGCTCCTTTCAAGAGGTCCCTGCTGCTAGCCAGAGCCAGACTGGCTTTCCGGGAAGGTCTCTGGCCCCCCGGAGCATTCCTGGAAAATGAAAGGGACGGGCGGCTTGCTCTGAGGCGTGCCCAGCCACCGGGAAAGAGCAAGGGAGGCGTTTCGCCTGCTCCGTGGGGTGCGCTTTGCCCGATTGCGAGGTGCTGTGTTCGTTTTTGCTTGGTGTCCGTGTTTCGCCGGGGGTTTGTGCATGCTCCGTCCAGGTTTTACCTGGATCTTGAGGGAGGGAGATACTTTGCACGTGCATCTCCCTAAGCATTGCCAGTTTGTCTGTCATGAAAGGGGCATTTTGCTGTGCTTTATGGGTGCAAAGGCACAAGTGCTGAGTATCCAGGACTCAGTCCCCACCTTTGCTTTGTATCTCGGCCAGGAAAGAGCATTTCTCTCAGTGGGCCTTCTATAAAATGGGCGCTCGGAGCAGAAACATGGCGTTTCAAAAGTGCGTTTTCATGCTTTGGGGTCCCTGCTCTGCAATTCTGTTTCTGAGCACCTGTTCGCTTCCGTCCAGCAAAAACACACCCTGCCTCCCACGGGGCTGAGTTTTACTGCAGGCTCTTCGAGGCAGGGAGGCCACCCTGCCTGCCTCACAAAGCACCGGGCCTGTTGACAGCACCACATCAGCATTAAACCTTCGGAAGAAAGGAGAGACTGAAACGTGCTCCCTGAAGGGCCGGGGAGCCGGGTGGCTTGCTGGCAAGGCAGCGGGACTGGGGCCTTGATGCCATCCACACACTCCTCCACCCAGCAGCCTCCAGACGGGTTCGCCTAGAGCTCATGCCGCTGGCCATTCCGGCTGGGGGTGATGGGAGCGCGAGTCCATCGCATCTGCAAGGCGCCAGGCGGGGGAGCCCGGCCTGGGGGGCGCTGCGACAGCCCTGCTTTCTCACCTTCTCCCTGCCGAGCTGGGCACGGCCCTCCTCCTCCAGGGCCTGGCGCTGCTGCTCCAGCTGCCTCTCGCGCTGGGCCCAGCCCCTCTGCTGCTCCTCCAGCGCGGCCCTCAGCGTCTCCTGCTGGCGGTGCTCCAGGTCCAGCTCGGCCTCCAGGCTGCGCACACGACGCCGCTCCGCCTCCAGGCTGCACGACAGCGACGCCTTCTCCTCCTCCTGGACAGGTGAGAGGACGCGCTCCTCAGCGTTCCACCACCCCCGAGACCCTGCCCCTAGGAGGGGCTGGATTCAGCTGCTGGCACAGCTCCCCGATCCTGGGAAGTCCTCAGCGGCACCCTGCGCTCGCCCCGAGCGGAGCCCCCTGCACCTCTGTGGGGCCACCCCAGTGAGGATGGCAGACTCAGGCCCTAGGATGGGGCGGGAAGCCCCTCCGTCCCAGGGGCAAATCGGATGCCGGATATGCTGCTGGATGGACGGGGCACGGCCCAAAGTACCAGCACACCCAAAGAAAAAGCTGCTCCTGCCAGCAGCCAAGGCCTCAGTGAGGCATTTCAAACTTCACGCTGCGGTCCGGTGAAAGGGGGCGCAGCCGCCTGAGGAGCGGCAGGAGGGGCCCCGCAAGGGCTGGGTTCGAGGTGCCCCACCCGGCCCCGGAGAGCTGGGGAAGCGACCTGGGCACCGCTTTCTTACCAGGGCCTCCTTTCCTTTGCAATGCAGGTGGGCTGCTTGCTGCTCCTGGCCGAGGGCCGACAAGGCCTGCTCAAGGCGCCCTTCTGTCTCGGAGATTTTCTAAGGCAGAGGGAAGAACGAGAGAGATGCGTTTCCAAGCCGACGAAATGGATGTAGCTCCAATCCATGGCTGGGGCAGATGGATGGTTAGTTTGCCCCAGCATGGCTGTAGGACGCAGAGCAGCTCCGGGGTCGTCCAGTTTGGTACCACACCGGGCACGGTCACCTGTCAAGCTAACCCACCTTGCCGATAAGCCAGGGTGGACGGGCTGTGACACAAACAACCCACAGTGTGCCAGACAGACACTCGGTTGCTCCCCACCACCACACGCAGCCACTGGTCACTCAGCGACTCATTGCCCTGTAAGAAGGGACTCAGTTCCCCCGTAAATTTGGTGGCAGGCACCTTGGCCCTTTCCCAGTGAGCTGGAGGAAAGCTCCTAATTAAGGGCTCTCAGGACAGTTGGGGGGGGGGGTCAGGGCCACACTGCAAAGGGAGCGGAAAGCTTGCCACCCCTTTTCATCAGCGACGATCCCTCAAACCTTCGCTTTCCTTTGGCAGCTTGGCTTTTGACATCTGGCAGGAGAATGCAAATCGAGACAAGCCCCTCCCGGAGAGCCTCTGGATCCACGCCTGGGGTTGGTACCTAAGCAGGTGCCCCCCACGCCATCCCCAGCCAAAGGGTCCTACTTCCACGCTTGCTAAAGCGGAATACCTCTGCAGCTGCGTGCGTGCAGAAGACAGCAATTAAGAACCCGAAAAGCCTGTCGTGACTGCAAAAAAAATTTAAATACGTAGTCTGACAACCGGCGAGTGACACACTGCCTGGGCACCCTGCCATGACTGCTGCTGGGTTAAAACGGAGAATAAAAATCCGGGCTGTCAAGTCAGAGGCTGTGATGCCCAAAGAGGGGGGAGGGTCAAGGAGGGGAAGGCCACAGCGAGTGAAAAGGTTTGCAACTGTGGCAGGGTACAGGCGGCCTTTCCGGCAGGTGGCCTTGCAGCGGCCAAGTGAGCCTGGAAGAGGAGGTCACCACGGGGCTCTCTCGCAGCTTCCCGATGCCCAGAATGGGGGCGTCTCCTGGGCCTGGACGACATGCCAACCCACTTGCGGCCAACAACCCAGGCACAAGCCACGGGTTGCCCAGGGGCCTCATTTCCCACGATCGGGCCCCTCAAAGGAAACGGTCGGTTCGCCTGTCACAACCGACTGCCGCTCGTCCCCCACAAGGGTGGTGGCATCACGGCAGCCCCCGGCCCAAGGCCCACCTCCTTCTGCTTGCCCAGCGCCTGTTCCGCTGCCTCCTTCTCCGCCTGCAGGCGATGCAGTGCTGCCGTCCGCTCAGCCTCATGGCGGTTCCAGCCCTCCACCACTTTGGCCAGGGTCTGGGGAGAAGGGACAGCTCAGCCGATGCTCCAGTGCAGTGATTGGCCAAGAGGAACCTGTGCTCAGGAAGGACGGACGGACGGACGGACGGACGGACGGACGGACGGAAGGACGGACGGACGGACGGACAGAAGGAAGGAAGGAAGGACGGACGGATGGACAAAAGGACAGATGGAAGGACAGAAGGAAGGACGGACGGACGGACGGACGGACGGATGGACAAAAGGACAGATGGAAGGACAGAAGGAAGGAAGGACGGACGGACGGAAGGACGGATGGACAAAAGGACAGACGGAAGGATGGACGGACGGAAGGACGGACGGACGGAAGCGCAACCCCATCGTCCAAGTCCGACTCACCCGGGGGCCCAATCATTTCCTGGCCCCGCCCCTTCCACCGTAGCTGCCAATCATTCGGGGGCTTCCTGGCTCTTTTCCCCATTTTAAAAGGCCGAAGCCTCCCCCTGCCCGGGCTGGCAGGCACTGACAGCAAGAGCATTAACACCCAGGCCTACACCTGTTTAGCCAGGGAAAAGACCAACAGGACTGCACCCCTGAGCGGCAACATGGGGTCCCCCGTGCTGGCTCGGCTTGGCTGCACCCCATTGACTGGTGGCACAGGCCTCCTGCAAAACGGGATTTGGTACCTGGGCTGGAAAAGGGCCCCCACCCTGCCCTTCTTCGTGTGGAGGGGAAATGCACATCCCGATTCAAGTTGGCCGGCTTCCCCTCTCCCCTCAAAGCCACATCCTGCTCCAGTCCCGCAGCCCATGTCGCTCTCCCTCTCGCCCTCAGCCGCGATGCGAGCCGGTCCTTCCTCGGCCCCAGGCTCGCCTTATCCAGCTGCTCGATCATGCAGTCCTTCTTCTTGTCGGCGGAGGTGGCGACGGCCAGCTGCTGCTGCAGCTCCAAGATGCGGTGCTGCAAACTCTGGATCTGGCGCTCGCAGTGCTGCGGGAAAACAATCTGGCATTTATTTACAGTCGGGGGCTGGCAAAGAGAGGAAATGAGAGTCCCTGTCCTCAGGCTTACGATCTAGAAGACACGATATAAAAGGAAATACGATATAAAATGAGAGGGAAGAGGAAAGAAACAAATCTGGACCCAGGTTCCACAGGTCCTCAAAGGGTAAACGCTCCCACCTCTCACACAGTGTTCTGAAAGCTTCCTGCTCTGGATCAGAGAGTGAGCGCTTCGATGGATGGACGCACGGATTCCTACACTGCCTATAGCCAGCACTCTCTGGGCAGTTTACAACGGTTGGCAGAAACAGTACAATTAAATACAATATAATGCCATTAAATCTTATCAAAATGCAAGCATTTTAAACAGAAAAAATGAGGAGAGCTGAAAGGCATACAAGAACAGCCCTGTAATAAACACCAGGGATGGCTAATCCCCTTGAGCCCCGGCATAGCCCATTATATCTTTAAAAGTCTTGCCATAATGGGATCGCATCTCAAGACGTTAGAAAAGCATTTTATTACCTAAGAAATCCAACTCTCAAAGGGCTTCTTAAAGAACAAATAAAGTGTTTTTCCAGCTTCTTGAGATTCGCCCTGCATTCAGCTGCTGGCACCTCCAGCTGAGGCTGAGAGAGCGGGAACCACCTGTGCTGGCCTCCCAGGAGAGCTGCTTCCACTCAGGGCAGGCAGCGCTAAGCGAGGCCAGCAAGAGGACCACCCGGGCGCCAAGCGCGTTCCCTATTTTCCCGTCCCCAGAGAAGTCATTTGTGGTGAAGCGTCAGACTGAGGGAGCAGCGTGGAGCAGACCGGGGTACCAAGGGGTGCGGGCCCATCAACTTAGCCCTGCTGGCCTGTGAGTTGGGAACCCGGCCAGTGCCTTTCGGCTGTCCAAGTAATCCTAACGGCACCTCCGGGATGAGGCGGGAGGAAGGCGTCCCCATGCCACAAGGCCCCCGCCCCCCTCCTTCGGTCCAAGGGCCACGTTCCATCCCGGATGAGCTCCTGGGGCCACAGTGCGGTGGTGGGAGGGGCAAAAGACAAAGGCGGGGGCGGGACAATCCCACCAGCCAGAAAACGATCGGCGAGGGGCAGGGCAGGGGAGACGCGCTATCTGGGGAACCCCCGAGGGACAGCTGGGAACTGTGCCCCCAGGACAGAGGGTCTGCAGCCCCACTTAAAAATCAGACTCCTCTCTTCTGGGCTCGCTTAACTCTTTGCACTGGGAATGCTGCAGGGGACAGACCAGCAGCCAACCCCAATTCCCTCCGGCCTCCCCGGGGAGCAGAACGTGGAGTCAGGAGACCCTCCCAAAATTTCAGCCAGGAATGAGGAGGATGTTCTAGAAGAGCAACCGGGAAGGCGGGTGTTGGGTTCCCGGCAGCACCTGGGCCCGGGAGGGCAGGCACCGTCCTAAGAGGCTTAGAGGGCTAAATCGGGCTGGCGGGGGGCAGGGGGCGACTGGCCAACAAGCAGCTTAAAACCGCGGAAGGAGCTGGCCAGCAGCTCCTACAAGGTCAGGCTTGGTTTGGCAGCACGTGGGCCGGGTCTGCAGCCCACCAGCGCCTCCTCCTGGCTGGGATCGGCTTTGCGGTAGCACACGGGGTTTGGGAGAAACGGAGTACAAGCCAGGCCCAGGGGCTGAGTCAGGGTCACCTCATAGGCACCTGCCACCCCACTCTGAGCACCCTCCGAGGGACCTAAAGGTGGGCTCAAGCAATCTCTTTGTAGCCGCTGGCCAATTTCTGGCATCCTCTGAATGAGGACATGTTTGCGCCTGGCGCGGAGAAAGTGGGGAAGGGATATCTCCTGTGAAGCTGAATGATTCGGGGCCTAAAAAGGGGGACCTTCTCACACCGTACCTAGCTAAGGCATCCAAGACACTCCATGACTTCGGACGCCTTTCGAAGGGGGCTGAAAAATTAATCCACGGCTGCTGGAAGTGACGTCTCCGTGATGCCCGCAGTATCGGGGGCAGTATGTCTATGTACACCAGCTGCTAAGAGACAGGGCTGGGAGGGGTCTGTTAAAGACAACACCCCACTGTGTGAACACAGCCCTGGATGGTGGTCCAAACCAGTGGGACGCTTACGTTTTTAAATTTGAAATGTACCTATAAGTCACAGGAACCATGCGAAAAAGAAAGACCACAGTGGTTGACCATAAAAAGACGGCAGCGAGCCAGTCTTTGGCTTTAAGAGTAGGAATGGCTCCTTCTGACTGATTCAGTGCATGGTTTGCAAACCCAGACCTCACGCTAGTCAAGCTAGAAAAGATCTTTTTCAAGTTAATCCCTCCTCAGACAAAGCTCATCCTCCTGTGTAGGCTATCAGCACTTTGCACAGCCCAGCAAATCCGGACTCCACCCCGAAAGAAGTCACACCTGGCCACCTAAAACATGCGAATCAGGCGCATCTGCAGGCCCAGATCAAATATTTTGACTCGGTAAGCAGAGAGGCAAGAACAGGAGTTGAGCGGATCATCTTGCTCAGCTCTCATCTGGCCCAAATTCACTGCTTGAACATTTTCAAACAGGGCCCAACAGCTTCCACAGACTACAAACTTGTAGTTTTTTAATACTTAAAGCTGAGATTTTTGAATGCCAGCCGCCATATGAGCTCTTCAGTTCTATGCCTGCAGGTATGTTAAATACAGTCTTAATTTTGCAGGCGAGAGGAAGCAGGTGCCAAGAAGACCAGCTGGATTTCAGTCTTTCCCCTCCTGGGAAAAGTCAGGACTTCAGGAGTCCATTCTTGCTAGAAAAGCGCACGGCCCTGTCGCCACCGCTGCAGCGAGCCCCAGTTGAGAAGCCAGGCTGACTCCCGAGAGTCTGGTCTGGCAGGGGGTGGCATGCACCTCGTTCCCCACACTGGGGGTGGGGGGGCCACGTGGCCGGGAGGCAGCAAAGCTCATTACGGGCCGTGATATCGGCAGCTAAGCCGCGTAGCTTTGCTTAAAGTCGGAGCTCACATGACCGCCTCCTCCCTCTGAGCCACGCTGGGCCACCCTTCAAGGAGCTTTGGCGGCCTAATTCACATCGATAATCCCGGCAATCAGGATCCGAGCCGGGGGCCGGGGGGGCAGGGGCTGCCGGGGCTGATTTCTTCGGCTCTGGTGGGAAGGAGTCATCCAACAGCTGGTCTCTCTGGTTTATGGCCAGGCGCGCAAGCCGCGGCTCGGGGCCCACACGCAGCTGCGGAGGCCCCCCGGGTGGCCCCACCTCCTTTCCCCGGCCCCCCCCTTTGCCACTCCCCAGCTTCCATTCTGGAAAGGCTGGGACAGCTGGCAGGAAGAGCTCAAGCTACCATCTGCCTGGCCTTTCATGCCTGCCCTCGTAGCCTCCAGGCCTGCCCACTCCGCCCTGCATGAGAGCTTTCCCAAAGAGACTGCTGCCTGGAGCCGAAGGAGGTTGCACAGCCCACAGAAATGTGCCTGTTCAGGAGCCCTAGCCCTTGTTTCAATGAATTCGGGGGGGGGGGAGCCCCGCTCTGGCACGGCCACTGCCCATCCGCTCCCTTTCCTGCCCACCATGTTTTACAGATCCTTGAAACTGCACGGCTTGCCCGGAGTGACTCACCTTCCGCCGGGCCCGCTCCTTGTCCAGAGATTCCTTCAGCAGGTAGGGGCTGGTGTACGACGGCTGCTCGTGGACTCGGCCCAGCCGCAGGCTGGTGTAGCGGGGAAAGAGCTCCTCGAAGCCCGCCAGGGAGCCGGGAGGGGACAGCTCCTGCAGCGGCCGGGCGCTGAGCAACAAGCAAAGGGGGCGCTAGCACCACAAGGGCACCGCCAAGAGCCACCCCCCCCACCTCTTCCTACTCCCTTTCTTCCACAAAGGGGAAAAGCAGAACCAGTCTGCCCCTACCTCCCAAATTACCCTACCAGAGAGGCCTGGCAATGACTGAGCTGTCTCCCCCTTGGACACCCCGAGGGCAGTCCAGTGATTCTCCAGGCACCTGCTTAAGTCCCGCTATTGCTCTACAGAACCGTGAGCTCCACCAATCGAAGCCTCCCCCAAGCTGGTGCCTTCCCGGTGTGCTAGGGATGAGGGCAGCAGCGATCCAACACACCTGGGGGGCACCTGCTTGGGGGGGGGCTGACCCCTCCAAAGAGCCTGCTGTTTTTAATGGGATCAGCTCTCTGGGCCAAAGGGACGGTGCCTCCACTCCTCTTTCAGTGGGGGAAAAGCAGGGCTGAGAGCAGGGCAACCAACCGCATCCCTTAGACCCCCGACGGAAACAAGGGCGGGCCGACACTGCATCCCGCCACAGGCCCCGCGAGTCCCTGGGCAGTGGCGGCAAGAAGCCCCGCAGCTGGCCCCGGAGGCGCCGCTGCCTCTGGAATCGGGCGAGCTGCGCAACACACAGGTGCGGCTCCAGCAACCCCAAGCGCAGGGAGCCTGTGGAGGACCGAAGCTGAGCTTACGTGAGCAGAGCGGTTGTGCTGTCGCTCTCAAAGGAGTCGTCATCCTTCCGCTCAAAGGTCCCCAGAGCCGTGGCATCCCCTGCGGGGTGAGAAGAGGGAATTGCATCTGCGGGTAAAGAGATGCTTTGGAGGCCCAGGAAACCGGACCAGCTCCCTCCCCTCTTCTTCCTAGCAGCCCTCAAGGGGGCCCCCCAGTACAGAGTGCTAAGAGCCCAAACTGACCAGGGGGACTTGCCATGGCAAAGGCCTAAGGGAGGAGGCGAGATACTGAGGGAAGGGGAAGCGTAAAAGCAGGCCCCAAAAGGCAGCGGATGTAACACAAAAGGGTTGAACCTGCTTCAGTCCGAGGGCCAAGTTCCTTTCTGAAGATGCTCTTGGGGGGGCGCATTCCACTGGCAGGTGGGCCTGGAGGCAAAAGGGGGGGTCAAAATACCCAAATTACAAGCCTGTATCAGCTTAAAACACTTGTCGCTAGTAACTAAGCCTTGGGGAAAGCATCCTGAGCTTTCAAGCAAGCAAAGACCAAGAAATGACCCAATGCTGGCACTCAGCCAAAGGGCCGTTCCCGTTCCTGCTATGAGACTGGCCCTGGCGGTAACCCACCACCGGTTATGGGATGCCCGTTTGCTCCGCCGCCTTCATAATGGGCACCCAAGTCCTCTCCTCATCCCGCTCTCACCCTGGTCCAGATCCCCGGACCTCAGCATGCTCTGCAGGTGACTGCGCACACTCTGCATCTCCATGATGTGGCGGGACTCCACAGCAGCAGCCTGGAAGAGGGAAGGCGAATTGCACGTCCGTCCCGCACCTCCGAGCGTCTCCGCACTGCGCTCCGGCCCCTTCCAGGAAGGCCTCGCGTCGCTCCTCACCTTCCTGTAGGAGCTGGCCTCCACGCTGGTGGAGAGCTGGTGGTTCAGCTCCTCGGCCAGAGTATCCAGGTCCACCTCAGAGGCCTCCGCTTCCCCGGCCAGGCCCAGGCCCAGGCCCAGGCCGTGCTGGCTCTCCAGGTGAGCTCGGGCCTGGGCCTCAGCCCGCCGGCTCTGATGGAGCGACGTGTAGAGCTGAGCTGTCACCTTGGAGGTGTACGGAGTGGCTGCCTGAGAGGAAGGGACCTGCTGCAGCGGGGTTGCGGGGTCCGAGCCTGGCAGAAGCTCCATGTCACTCAAGAGATCTTCGCTGTGGATGGAGGAGACCAGCGTCTGAAGGGTGCTCTTCTCCGCCATGGGTGACGTGGGGAGCTGGCGTCCCGGAGTGTCTCCCCCAGACCAGCCAGCTGCAGGGGTTCTGCGGTCAGAAGTTCAGTGCCTCAGTCGTAATGGAACATCCCATGACAACAGACTTTCCAGGAAAGGGAGCTCCTGCTCACAGCTACATCTGCCCAGAGTAGCTGAAAGGAGTGGCTTTGTTTTGTACCACGGACTGGGCAGGTAGAGACTTGGCCCCTAGAAAACAGCACCCCAAAATGGCACAGACATTAGAAGAGTGTCAGCGGGAAGATCAGAGTAAGTCTGGGTATGTGTGGGGGGGGGGCAACTAAAGCTGGGTCCTAATGCCCACTTCGGAGTTTTGATCTTGTGCTCAGCCCCATATGGGAGTGCTGTTATCCATGTCCCAGTGCTAGGCTGCGGCTTAACTTTCATGCCTAAGGCCAGCCTACCCTACCCAGATATACTTTAACCCCACTTCTTGGTCTCCAAGCCCTAACCCCTTAAAAGCATTCTAAAACCCCACCTCATCTGGCTCCCCACTTCTGCATACGACCCTCACTCCATTTTGAGTATCCAGTCTGACTGCCCCTTCAAGTTCCACTTACCCCTTTCCCATTCCCTAAATGCTACTTCCCGATTCTGGATTCTATTAGTTAAAATATTTACATAAAGCCCTTTGTTGTCAATCTCAGGGCCATGTACATAAATCAGTATAATATCAAGTAAGACACAAAAGATGCTCAGTATGAAAATCTGCAAATGCTGAAGTCAACAGGCCCCAAAGCACCACCAAAAATAATGCTTTTTGCACAGCAGAGCGGAGAGAACTCGCATGTTGGAGGCCACCACCGAAAAGGCCCTCCATCAGGTCAGCCAACTCAAACAGTATGTTCCCATTGCCGTGGCCACACTGGCTCCTCAGAAGGAGCCATTCCAGGGGATTCTTGCCTGGGGGCCGCTCCTGGGTGGAAACTCTGAATGGATGCCCAGCTGGACCCTGTCAGGAGTACCAGCACAGGCAACAGGATGGCCAAGAGGGGACCTTCCACCTGTCAGGGAATGATGGGAGTTGTGATCCAGCCCAGCTGGAAGGCCCCCGCTTGGGCAAGGCTAATCTCAGAGAATGGGCAGGCCGCTCTGGCAAAGAAGGTACCTTAGGTGATCTACCTGAGATGCTTCCTCAGGTAGATGGGCACGGCCAAGCCCCGCGCACGCGCACTCCGCCAGCCCCGCCCACCACTCGGCGGGTGCGGGCCCCTCCCCCGGCCTTGAGGCAAATCCCGTCCCTTCCCCCACTTTTAGGCACCCCCTCCGGCTGGACCGGCTTCGTCTTTCCACCGGCCTGCCCGCCCGCCCGCGCCCTCCTCTTCCTCCTCCTCCTCCTCCTCACCCACCTCTAGGCCGCACTGCCAAGCCTCACCGTGCACCCAAAACTCCCTCACTGGGGCCCGCGCGGCCTGGACGGGACGGGAGGAACGGCGATGCCGACGCCGCCATCTTGCTTGAGGGCAAGCGGGGGGCCTGGCGAGGGCAAGAAGGCGCGCGCGCAGGACCGAGGCTGGAGGGGGCGGGGAGAGCGTGACGGACGCGCACGCGCCGATCAACCGACCAAGGAGAGAGCGCGCCAAGCGCGCCACTCCCCTTCCCGGAAGTGGAAGGCTGTAGGAAGCCGCCGGGGGAGGACGGGTGGGTTGTCATAGAGACGAAGGTAAGTCTCCCTGCGCGAAATCCAGACGGGGGTGGGGGGCAGCGCAGGGCAGTGGGCGAGGGGCCAGCACCCTGGTCTGTTCCCCACCCGTACTTTTCTGGCTTCTTGTTCAGCGAGCCTCGGCTGCACAGTCTGGGGTGCGGTGGGTGGCTCAAGTGAGCGAGCCAAGCTGCACGCTTGCGGGCCCGGCTTCACGGGACGGAGGGGCTGCAGCCACTGTGTGCAAGCTTACTCCGAAGAGTCATCCCAAGGAAACCTGACCCTGTAACCATTAGCTGCCATCAGGGGGCGCGTTGATTTTGCATAGACCCCTCCTTGAGCAGTCAGGGTAGAACACCTTATCTTTATAAGCTAGTACCTATTTAGTTTAGTAGCCTTCTTGGTTCTATTCAACATGTATACGTTTTAATGGCATTTATTATAATTGTGGTGGGTTATCCTATCCTCGGACCATGAGTACATATCCAGAACACCTCATGCTCATTGGAACTCACTTAAAGAAGTAAAAAGAACTGTATATTGAGAGTTACGTGTGTGCCTTCTAGTCACATACCCCAGACCTCCTGGTTTTCTTGCAGATGACAGTGCACAACTTGTACATCTTTGACCGCAACGGCATCTGCCTGCATTATAGCGAATGGAATCGGAAGAAGCAAGCTGGCATCTCCAAAGAGGAGGTGAGGCTCCACCTTTTGATACTTAGAGAGGTTAGGTCTGCACACCTGCCTAGACACTGTGTGGAGTGAGCCTCTTCGGTGATGTGGGAATTGCACTTTGCACTTGGGCAGAGGCCTTTTGCCAGAATGATTTTGTGTATGCATGCATTACAGCTTTGCCTATTCTGGAGCTTAGCAGGCTGATGCTGAAAAACTGTTTGAGTCCTGGAAACATTACACGAAGAGTCATATCTGCCTTCCCTAGTCTGGTGCTGTATGAGTCTGCAACTCCCATTGCCTGGCAGGAGATGATAGGAGTTGTAGTCTAACACACCGGGAGGGTCCCAGACTAGGACAGCCTGCATTACAGTATGTGACTTTCCTCCCTAATATTTGAAGAACACTTAGAACCGCCTGGCTTTGGGGTGTTCTGTAGGTTGCTTGGTTTCATCTGTCTCAACCATACAAAGCGTTCAAAACTTGTTTCCATTCCAAGTGAGCCATGACTAAGCTGTCAACTGATTAGAAAAAAGTTAAGCCGATTAAGGGCGATGCTTTAGGAGAGCAAAAGATAGATTTTAACAAATCAGTTCACAGTTTATGTTTCAGTAGCCACTGTTACGTGAAGCCATTAAAGTCAACCTTTAGCAGTCCTGTGCTCCTTCCAGCCAAGGGTGGCCGCTCTCCAGCCTGGGCTGCCGTTTCTCCTGATCGTGACAGATGGTAAGAGAGAAGGCAGCTGCATTGCTCCTGCACGGAGCTCTTTTCTCTGGACTGAAAAAGCGCCCCAGGAGTAGGCGAGGGCGGGCAGTTGAGTTGGCGCTTCAGTGCCCCCTTCAGCTGGAAAAGGTAGCGGGGAGGGTTGGGGGAGGGGGGCAGTAGCCTCTTCTCTTCCTGCTTGGGAGACATTCTGGCCCAGGTAAGAAAAGAAGCAGCTACCTGAATATTTTGGCCGCAGGAGGACAAGAGTGGACTAGCGAAACAAACTGCCGAGATTGGGAGCAATGTGAAAAAGCAGGGCTGAAAGGCTGAAGCCTCCTCGCTTGAGCGTGGCGCGGAGTTACTGGCATCGCTGGCCACGGTGGGACGCTCGCGCATCGCGAGCGAGCGAGCATGGCTGTCCTTGCCGGTGCGCCTGCCCTGCATTCCCTTTCCTCTCCCAGTGTGGCACAGACACGCGTTCTCTCTCTCTCTCTCTCTCACTCTCTCACTCTCACTGCAGGAGTTCAAGCTGATGTACGGCATGCTGTTCTCCATCCGTTCCTTTGTTAGCAAGATGAGCCCCGTGGACATGTATCCTTTCTACCCAGTGGGCAGCGGAGTTGTCAGTCTCGGGAAGGAGAGCGGGGGTCCAGCCCCAGGCCTCCTGGCTCACGCCACAAAAAGCAGCACTTCCCAAACGGAAGGAACTTTGGGAGCCGGGCGGGGTGGGGAGGGGGCTAGTGGCTCGGCCCTCTGTCCATCCCTCCTGCGGCTTTTCTTAACCTCCGCCCGCGCCTCCAGGAAGGATGGCTTCCTGTCCTTTCAGACAAGCAAGTACAAGCTGCACTACTATGAGACGCCCACCGGGCTCAAGGTGGTGATGAACACCGACCTGGGGGTGGGCAACATCCGCGATGTGCTGCACCAGATCTATAGCTACGTGAGTTGTGTGTGTGTGTGTGTGTGTGTGTGTGTGTGTGTGTGAGGGAGGGAGGGAGTCTGTCCGCCCCCATGGCTCCCTGTGATCCCTTCTGTGTTGCAAGAGAGGGACTGCGATGGAGTTTCTCAGCCTGGTGCCCTCCAGATCGGCGGGACGGCAGCAGCTCCCAGAACCCCCAGCTGGCTGGGGATTATGGGAGCCGCAGGCCAACATGAGTCCGGAAGGTCAGGCTAGGGGGACTGGAGGTGTGCTCAGGGCGCAGGAGGACTGTGTCCAGACACCGCACCTGCTGTGTGCTGGCAAGGTGGTTTTACAGCAACGGAAAGCCAAGTCCATTGCTGTATGGAGCCAGTGTGGCGTCGTGGTTCAGAGCTGGGACTGGGACTCGGGCGATCCGGGTTCTGAGTCCCCGCTCGGCCATGGAGCCAATGGGTGACTTAGAGCCAGTCACAGCCTCTCAGCCCAACCTACCTCACAGGGTCGTTGTTGTGGGGATAAGGTGGAGGAGGAGAATGATGTAAGCTGCTTTGAGCCCTTTCTAGGAAAAAGGCAGGCTATAAATCACAATATAAATAAATAAGTCCAAATGGAGAAAGAGAACCGCGATAGGCCCTCCTAGAGGGGCATTTCGCATTCCACCCCCCTCTTCTCATGAAAAGCTCATGAAAAGCTGTAATTCCGGGTGGCTTGTGAGAACAAAAATCACAATATATAAAGCCGTTTCTGAGACACAGTCGAGATGGGTGCAGTGAACAGCGAAGCCAAGTTGAAATGGAAGCAACCGTTTGGGGGGCAGGCGCTCCCCCCCCCAGACAGTTTGGAGCCGGCTCTGAGGTGCTCCCGGGCCTCAGCCGCCCCCGCACTCTATGCGCCCCCGTTGCTGGGTATCCCTCCTGCACCCCTGTCCTGCAGGCGGGTGGTGGGCTGTCCCGGAGCCGCATGCGGGCTGGACCGCCCGTGCCTGGCCGTCCCGCAGGGGCCTGCCCAGTCGCTCACGTCCTGGTGTCTCCCGCAGCTCTACGTGGACTACGTGGTCAAGAACCCGCTGTGCAACCTGAACGAGACCATCCAGAGCGAGCTCTTTCGGAACAAGCTGGACACCTTCGTCCGCGGGCTGCCCTTCTTCTCGGCTCGGGCAGGCTAGCTTCCCCCACCGCCCCGGCTTAAGGACTGCACTGCCCACGATGCACCCGGGCTATCCTTGGGCAGCAAGCTCTACCGTGTTCTGCTGGGCGTGCCTCCTTCCGCACGAACCATCTGCCTCATCACAGGCCCGGGCCCCGCACCGGGATGACTGCGGCAGTGTCCTCGCTGCTTCTCCACTCCCATCTTCCCCAGCTGGACAACTGTTGTGGTGTGCCGTGTTTCTGCCCCGTCTCCCTTTTGGGGAGGACCCCAGCCACCCACCCGTACCTGCCTGGCCGTTCCCCTTCTCACCCACAGCCCTTTGCCGGTCCTGACCTGCTTCTTTCTATTTATAGCCCTTCCTCTCCTCTCTCCCTCCTGCAGACTCCCTATTTATAGCTTTTCTGATTCAGTGCTCACCCATCCTGGGTATGACATCAGGTACCCCAGGGGCTGCTTGGATGCAAAGGGATGGGGAAGCCGCAGCTGCAGCAGCTCCTCGTCCTTCCCAAGAGCATCCCGCACAAAGAGGGGTTAGCCATAGAGAGGGCTTCTCACTTCCACCACCAGGCAGAGCCGGCAGGCGCCGACAGTCACGAAGCGATCTGTGCGGATCCACTGGCTCTGACTCGGCCCATACATGAAGCGTCAGTGGGTGCGTCTCGGGGGCAAAAGGGGTTTGGCTTACAGGCCTGGCCTTCCCTGGGATGCTTGAGGGTCTCTGCAGACCCCCAGCCTTGGCTAACCGGGTTGGTGGGCCTGCCGTCGGCTTCAGGCCTGGCTTTTCGGCTTGCGGTGGTTGGTGGCCCCTCGAGCCCTTTCAAGCTGGGGCGCTTTTGCAGCATTTTCCTCAAAAGCCTGGATAGTCGACCAGCTGTATTCACTGCATTACTCCCAACGAGCAAGGCCCTGAAAACCAATGAGGCATGCTAAAATGCGGGTTGGATGCCTTCACATTGCACGGGGCTTTTTACTTCCCCCGGCACAGACATTCAGCGGCGGAAAAGAGAATCGGAGTGTTCAGTGGCTGTTCCTCCAGGCCAGCAGTAAGTGCCCGGGTGAGCTGCCGCCTCGTTTCTCTCCTCTCTGGCACAGCTGGTTGGGCCTTTTATGTATTTTTGTTGCTCAAAATGTCTTCAGCTCTGGAGGCCTAAAGGATTCAAGCTTGTTTCCAGCGTCTTAAATACAACGTAATCGAAAGTAAAAGTACTGTGTTGTGGTTCTGTTTCACGTCCTTTGAAAGCTTGTTCCGATGGATCTCAGTCGGTGGAACTATGGCCTGCCTCTGGTGCAGAGCCCGGGGAAACCTCCCTGAAGGTTCCTGGGCTGGCAGGAGGCACCCTGGAAATCGACGAGCCCCCACCCACGCTCCCTGCCAGAGGCCCGGCCGGCGTGATCTCGGACGAGTCTGAGGCAGGCCGTGCCTCGGTTGGCATCGAGGGGACATAAGCTACCCCAGGCGATTCCTCCTTGCAGCCCCATCTTTTCTGTGTGGCATCAAACAGGCCTCCTCCTCGGCCCTGATGTGGCGCTGGGGACCACACTGCTCCAGCCAGAAGTCAGTTTCCGACTCACCGCTGTGAAGAAGCAGGGCTGGGGAAGGTGTCTCAAGGCAGGCTGAGGCAGGAGGGCTGCCTGCAGCCCCCAGCATGCCGGAAGGATGGGGCTGCGACCCCGGGTGACCATTTTTTTATGGTCGCCCGGCTGGCCCCTTGTCGCAGCCTTGAGCTCTGGCGTGGAACCCTCCGGTCTTGCTGTCGCCTTTGCCTGACCTGCCGGAGGCGGGACGCAGCCCTGCCCCACCGGGTGTCTTCTTGACGTGTTGCATTATAACTCCCAGCACCCCCAGCCAGCTCTGCTGGGAGTCGTCCAGCGTCTCTGGAGGGCAGAGATGTGGGCGAAGGTTCTCAAAACCTGGCTTGGGTGCAGGGCCAAGAACGGTCTGCTCTCTGCACAGAGGCAGGACCGTTGAGGCCCCGGTTCTTGCTCCTGCCCTCAGCCTCGCCAGGACGCCGCTCCCCCCACCGCACTCCCCAAGGAACGCCGAGTGCCGGAGCACCTTCGAAACAGAGGCCAGGGCTGTGGCCTTGCGTCCCAGCCGGCCTCAAGGCCGCTGTCACTAAAGGGCAGAGTACAATTGCGCTGTATTTAGTGTCTGATGGGGATTAGCGGCACTTAATCCTCCGGGGCAGAGAGGACAAGCAGGTAACTGCTGGAGCTGGAGGAGGGGAGCGCAGGAGAAACGGATAAACCTGCATGTTGAGAGCTCAGGGGCTCGGGTTCCTCTGCTGCTCCGTTCTGCTGAGAGGAGGAGCGCCAGCTGCCTCTGCATGTGGCCGACTGAAGCCCAGCAAAATCCTCGTCGGAGGTCCCGCTAGCAAAGCTGCGCCTAAGCCCCCTTGCTTATCAGACCCGGAAGGTTCTGCCTGGGAGATCCGATTCCCCATCCATCAACTCCCAAGACCGGGAATGGGATGCCTGGTGACCCTCCCTGCTGCATTTGCCGGCTGTTCCTGGCTTTGCGGTACCTTCTAAAGTTGCCCAGCCAGCATATGGGCACCGCGTCGCTGCTGCAGCCGGCTGGAAGCCACGCAAACACAACAGCCTGTTGAGTTGTGTGATGTTTGTCTGTCCCACAAAGGGCCTTCTCCCCCACCACGTCCCTTGGGGTGCGATCCCCTGCGTGTTTAGAAGGGGCGGCAAGCTCCCAGCACGGCCCACTGAGGCAAGTGGGAGTCGCGGGCCTGTTCTCCATCGAAACGCGAATAGGGCAGCGCGTTTCAATTCTCGGAGCGAGTGCCGGAGGAGGAGAGCTCTCGGCTACTGGGCAGCAGATAAATTAAAGATCAACCCTATTTTGTGTCCTCTCGTGGAACCAAATGAGCTGCGCTACAGTGAGGAAGCAGTTCAGGAAGCTGGAGATTCAAGGCCCCCACCTCCCCCCCCCATGCCCAGAGGTGCCCCGTATTTCACGCGCTGCGCTCTCTCAAAGGTTTGGGCAACATTTGCCCGCTGTCTCCAGGCTGGCTGTTTGCACAGCGGAGCGACTTAGAGCTGGGGCTGGCGGCCTTTGCGGGAGTCCAGCCTGGGGAGGCAGAGGGAGAGCCGGCCCTTCTTCGCCCCATTTTCCCCTCCTTCCTCACTGGGCCCCAGCCGGGCCACTGCAGACGGCGCCTTCCGTTCCCCCACTCCCTTCCCTGCCCGGCCCTCCGGCTAATCCCAGCAAGCTGACCAGGTGGCGTTAGGCCCATGGCTCCGGATGCTTCGGGTGCGTTGAGAAGCTTTAGTTTTTGCACAATTCACGAGCTTTAATTCCTGCAAAGCCCCAAACGGGAACAGCAGCCGTGTGTCCTGCCAACAGTCAGTCCTGTGGGTTGGTTTTATTAACCATTCAAAATCTCGGCAGCTTGCTTCTGACTGCTGCGCTCAAGCACAGGGAGTCTCGTTCCCTGGAGAGCCCGAATTGACAGTCCTTTTATCCGATATCATATCCCCAAATAGGATGGGGTGGAGCCTCACACCCCCAGCTCACAAGCCCCAGGCCAGTCAGCTCAAATCTGAAATCTGTGACATCTTGCTGGTCTCCTGTTCTTGAAAACGTGGTCCTGCTCCGCATGTGGGTTCACGCACGAGGCTTAGCCTGGTTTTCCCTTTCAAACCAGTTTGTAATGTGGACACAAAGCCTACTTTGGTGAGAACACAGACTGCACTTACCCCGTGCACCCTGCTTTCTATCGTATGTGGAGCAGCTGGCGTGGCATGCATGGTGCATGAGAGGGAGCGCAAAGGTGCACTTGAACATGGCACATGGACTGCCCCGCACGGACTGCCCGGCCTCTCCGGCAGAGCTGAGGGGCCCGGGAACAGCTCGAGGGCTACCCAGGGGACCAGTTGCGGGGCTGGCTCTATTTGGATGCTCCGTTTCTCCAGTTTTGGAGAGAGGGATTAGGTGAGCGCTCGGTTCAGTGTTCACAGAATTGTGCCCCAAAAAGGAACAAGGAGGGAGAGAGGGCAGGAGGGTCGTCCCAGGGGGAAGGCTGGGGCTTCTGCCCTCACGGGGCATCAGAAGAGGCTCTCTCACCCCACCCCGTGCAGAGGCATTGCGGCAGCAGCTCCCGGGAATGGGGCCGTGCACCGGAGCAGAGCGGGACCCGGAAGGGCTGGCAAGGAGGGTGCTGCTGGGTGGAATGAGGGGGCGCTGCGGGGCTCTCCGGCGCTTCAGGGGCACAGGGCAGGGGAGGGGAGGGGGGCCGGGGGCCACGGAGAGCCCGGGCCAGAGGCCGTCCTTCACCAGCTGCCAGGCCTGCAAATCCCCCACACGTCCCCTCCCCCGCGGGGTGGGGGAGCGAGACGGGAATCTCCGGGCATTAAGCACCGTGGCGCGGCTAAGCCGCTGTGCCTGGCGCTGGCAGGTGCTGCAGGCGCTCCGGCAGGGCCCTCGGCGGGAGCCCGGGGGCACTATGTTCGCCAGCTCTTCCCGGGGAGGCCCGGCGCCCACAAGTCGGGGGGCGGCGGGGGGCGGGGGGAGCAAGTTCAGCGTGGACGAGCTCTATGGCCTGCCCAAGAAGAGCAAGGGGTCGAAAGGGGAGAGCATCCGGCGGCGCAGCCAGGCGGGGCCGGGGGCGCGGGATGGGCAGGCTCTGTCCCCTGCCCAGGTGCTGGAGGCGGCCCGGTACCTCATGGAGAAGCGGCAGCTGGAGAGGTACCTGCAGGAGGCCGGGACGGCTGTCGAGCAACTGGAGGGCCACCGCACCGGCATGAGGTACAGGTACGTGGGGCGGGCCTCCCGGGGGGCCAGAGGCGCAGGGCGGGGGCACGGTGAGTGTGGGGGCAGGTGGGTGCGTCTCCTCTGCCAAAGCCTGGAACTCAGTACATGATTGGATGAGTCTTTTTGTTTCGGGGAACAAGTTCCTAGTCCTCATGGAACCTCAGAAAAGATTTTAAAATGTCTGTGTGGGACCTGTGGGAAATGAGCCAGAGGTTCAAGAGAAAGTTTTTGGTGGACTCCCCCCACCCCGCTCTTGTGGCTGATTCTTTTTTCCCTAGTCACTAATTTCTCCTCTCCAGTCCCTGCCCATTTATTGCACTGCAGAGGGGAAAAGAAAGCAAGTTGTGTGAGAGCAAGAGGTAGTGAAGCAGGTTCCAGTCTCTCTTCTCCGCTCGGAAGACGGGTTGTCGGAATGCACCTACCTGCACGAACGGGGGGCGGTCCGAGGGATCAGCCAAAGAGCAGAGCAAAAGCAGAGGCCTGGAGACCTTGTGGGATGTCACAATGCACCACATGGCGCAGTGGTGAAGGCCAGCACAGGCTGCTAGTCCTCATGGCATCTGCTCCCTCCGGTATTGTTGGGGAGGATGGGTGAGCGTGTACTGCTGCGCATTTGGGCTTCCTAGAAGAAGTTGGGTGGCTGCTGACCAGAGTAGTGCCCTCAGAGCCATGGGGCAGAAGCAGAGAGCTTTTGGGGAAGGGGGCCGTGGGGGGGTCCCTGCTGGAGGCCCCATGCGAGAGAACGGAGGAAGGCGTGGAGAAGAGCGAGCAAGGACTCTCTGGGTGCAGGGCTCCCTGGGAAAAGGGGGCAGCTTAGGGGGGCAGGAGCCACGTAATTTTCCTCAGTGGCACCCGAGACGCTCGGCCACGTCCCCCTCCTCTGTGGCGGGCGCACTGGGAGGGACTGGGCGAGTGAGGAAGGGGCTTGGAGGGGTCGCAGCCCAACCGCCGGATGGCACTGGGTTGGGCACGGCTGGGGGAAAACGTTTACGCTCGTGTCGGCCAAGCTGCGTTCTGCGGACTGGGAAGAGCCGCTCCTGGCAGCCGGCTCCCGGCAAGGGCCACGTGCTTCCGTGTGCGTCTTCCTGCTAGCGGGGGCCACAAAACGGGGTCCGGCCCCACCTTGGATGTTGCGTGTCGCGGCAGTCGCCCTCAGTTTGACAGCTCCGCACCGAGGGGGCTTGCATCCCTCGCAGGAAGCCCCTCTTTGCGGGCATCCTTGCTTCAGCTCCTCACTGCAGAATGTTTTGGGACAACCCCCAGGCTGCCGAAGAAGGAGGGGCTTGCCGAGCGACAGAGCTTGCTTGCTCGGGTTGGCATCTTCACAAAACCATCCCCACATGGGGCGTTCCCAGGGCGGCTGGTACAAAGGGGCCGTTGAACCAAGCACAGGAAAGTAGAACAAACCCGCAGCGCAAAGTTAGAGCGCGCCGTTTTT